GACCTGGTGCGATGTGATCAAATCTATCTAGAAATTTCCTCTGGAAGGCTGCCCAATTGGTGAAGGGGTTATGTCCATACCACTCAAAAGCGGTTCCGGCTAACCTTCCGGGAATTCGTTTTTGGAGCAACTGGTCCGACCAGCCCTGGGCTTTCAAAGCAGCTAGCTAGGTGCGAGGGTCGGTGTCATCTTCGGAGAAAATGGGAACTTCGGAAGGAGGAGGGACAAAGTACAGGGGATGATTGGCCATCCCCGCGTGGTTATCACCGTCGTTTTCACCCCCAATTCCGGGTTCCACCATCGCGGGAGGCGGGTTTCGAGCCCGGCCTCTCGCTCGGTTCTGATTGCTATTCGCGGGCCTCCGTCGACGAGGAGCCAACCTACTCAAAAATACGAAAAAAAGATCAAAAAGAAAAAGAAAAGAAAAAAAAGAAACTTAAAAACAGGGTAATCGCCCTAGGAAAACCTCGGAGCCGAAACGAATCAGCTCTGATACTAACCTCACGACCCTCGCGGCTTCCCGTACGGGGTCGCCGATCAGACTTCTAGGAGGGGCGTGGCCGAGGATTTTTGGCCGTAAGGGTTGAGTCTCTCGGACGGAACGGGAGGCCCTCGTTTCCTGCCAGAGTTTTTCCCCGGAGTCGAACTGTCATCGCGGAGTCCCGTGGGGGTCGGATCACTCCGAGACGATAAAATCAAAAAGGTTTCAGCAAAAATGAACTCCCGTCATGCATCGGGACGGAAAAAGGCATCAAGGGGAGAGGGCCATGGCGGCGGAGGACAAAACTTCGGCCGTCAAGGGCTTGGGGGATAGGTGGTGGGTTCGAAGCCTTCAGGCCTCATCATCGGCCTCACAAAGTGGCCGGGAGGGTAAAATGGCGAGAGGACTCGCCGACATCTGAATTCAAAACTCTGCGGGCAGCGCCCCCGCACTACCGGAAAGCTCGGGGAAATGTGTTGCTCCCTCGTAACCCAGGTGGCGACGCTGTGCACGAAGTTGGGTGCCACCTGGAGCGCGCGGAACTCAATGAATACTCGGGTCATCTCCCGGCCAGGCAACTGCGTCACG